AGTCATATCTCGAGTTGGGTAGTTCAGTGCTCACCATTTATCACAGGAGTTATCGTAACATATGAAATCAATTTGGGATAAGACAAGAACACGCAATGTAACACCGTCTCGACCGTAGCAGCTCTCCGCAGTATGATCAGTCTGTTAGCAGTACTGTCCGATGAATATAGGTTCATCCCTTTGAAAGATGCCATAAATAAACGGTCGGTCTGCCACGAAGCTTGGGACGATCACCATGGCTTTTGTCATCATCATCACCCCAGTCACTGCTGCAGCTTTTGTGCCTTCTTCATTCACCTGAAGCAAAGACATTTGGCATCGGCAAATGGCAACAGATAGTACCACAAGCCGGAAAGGAGGTTCACTGCTCACAGCCAAGTCCATGCAGCCTGCGACAGCACAGGTGCTTTTTAATTTAAAGGCAGCGATTACGATGAAGTCGGAGCGCATCGCGGAAGCATATGCACCACACGAATCAGTTACTTGGGAAGCGAGGTGTAGCGCTTTCACGACGAAAGGTGCGCTGGTTGCTGAGCAGGACTTCGAAAGCACTCCGCCCCCAAAAGCGATCCGCCCACTAGTTTAGTTGGTGATTTGGACGAGCTGCGTTGCCAGCAGCGGCACAACTAAAGCAACTCGACTGAGCGTGGTTTGGCATGCTGTCACCAAACGCGTTGCGCTGAACTCGTTCATACGTCCGCTTTCTGAGCTGTTACCTGTTCATGAGTGAAAACTAACGGCCAAAAAAAAGGGGTCCCGTTTTGCGTTTTCTTGACGGATTTCTCCGCTTTTTCGCTACTGGCGTACCACTGAGCACCACCAGTCCCCTATAAACCCTTCTTGAATCTATCGTAATCACTGCCTTTAAACCAGTAAAAAAATGTCCACCTTAGAAGTTTTAGAGTCTAAGGGAAGAACTTGGTCATCAACGTGATATCCTCCTCAAGCAGGCACTTCCTATCGAACGGTACATTCCTAGTCCTGATCTGCTACCGCCTTTTGGGGCAAGAAAAACCAAAAGCAATTCACATTGGGAATTCTCCGAAAAATGCCAGTGTTGTAAAGGTGGCCCTCAAAATTGTTGCTGCTATAAAACTACGGATGTCAATGCACCTCCACATCCAGTAGAATGTGCATATGATCATTTCATATTCTGATTTAATTCGAACCAAAGCAAAATCTCTACGAAAAAATCCCTATAAAAGCTGTTTGCGCACCAAGCATAAGAAGTTGTCTTACTATCAAGCAGGCAAGTTGAACTAAAACACACCCGAAAAAGCACATGAGGAGTGCTGCCCAAAAAGTCGAGGATTCCTTCCCAGTGGTATTTGCCTAATAGTGCAGGAATTGTGTGAAATGCGGGACTTTTAGTAATCATAGATGGGGATAGGGGAAAATGAAATATCGACATCAAATGTAAATTTGCTGCACATGTATTCTTCGCCATTTCTTCCCTCCCCTCTACCTACTTGATGACAACCTGGGAAGGACTCTTGAGTGGTTGGAGCTGGTCAGGCTCGAAGACACTACCGTCCAGAAGGAGAGCGTAGTTTGATGGTGTGCAATGATAGAAGGGTTCGGGGAAGGGGATAGGGAACGGTTGTACCAAGACCCCGGCTCAGGGGGGTTTGCACTACGGCGGAGACTTCCTCGACAAATGTTCAACTTGCTAGAGGATAGTCATCAGTTCGTCCTGCTAAACAGCATGAATGCGTTGAACTCTTTTACTTGCTCCGTCTAAGGATTCAAATGTCGTTCTATT